CTCGACGAACTGCGTGGTCGATGGGGCAAAGATACCAGCGAAATTAAGGTTCGGCAATTTCATCCAGCTTAACAGAGTTGAGAAGTTAGAAAAAGCACGAGATCAAGTGTTAATTGATGCGTTTTGGGAAACTAATTTTCCTGGAAAGATAGGATAAACCTCAGTTTTGGTGTCTTTTCCCTGAATTTTGTGAATTGTCGTATTACGGGGATTGAAATTTATACTTAAAAATGAAAGCAAAGAAAAAAAAATTGAAAAAACCAAGAATTTTTGTCCTAATCAGCAAAAATTCGAATTTTCCCACTTCAGACACCCACACTTAATGCATAGAGAGTAAGCTACGGCAAAACCATTTATTGTAATTTTTATTTTTCAACAATAATCATATTCTCTCAAATGTGTGCGATTTCAGCCGAATTACGTTTTTGAATAAAATCTTACCTATTACTGGCTAAATTTGCTTCTGTCCCAGTAAAATTTCGCAGTTCTCGGAATATTTTGCTTTTTTTTCAGCGAAATTTCACTATTCCTTGACAATATTTTATTTTTTTTTCTTAGTAAAACCCGCAATTTTTCCCACGGCAGCTTGTTTTCTCGCACAAAAATTTTACGAATCTCGGCCCAAACCTTCACAATTTTTGTTCCTGTCGTCTCTGCTATTTTGCTTAGATTTTGTTTTTTAGGGCTTTTTTCGTGCAAACGAATTTGGGGTTGCAATAGGACAAAAAATTCGATTTTTCCATCTTCATTCGCAGTCTAGTACACTTCGGAGAGCATATGTATAAACAGATGTGTGTGGCACATAATTTTACGGAAATTTCGAGAAAAATACGCTAGTTTCTGCCGGATTATATGCCCAGCTGTACTTCGACAGATCATGAAAAGCTGGTGGCTTTTCTGTGCTATGTAGCAGTAGTAGGGGGAGAAACTGGGAATCTGTTTTTCCTAAATTTGATGCATTTTTTCTTTAAATGCCAAAAGTACTGAAAATCTGTTTTTCTTAAATTTGAAGCATTTTCTCTTTGAATACCAAAAATACCAAGGCCGCCTGGACAGTCGGTTTGGTTATCCCATGTTAGTGATGTTACTGAGATGTTCTCAAAAGCTGGACGCAAATGCCGGGTCCTTTGGCCCTAAACTGCATACCTCCTCCAGTTTTTCAAATTTACTTGATTCCTTGAAAATGGCTACATGTTTGTTTGCCGGCTACATCGCTGGAGAACAACATTTTTCAAAATAAAAGGATTTATGATGGCGCAGATGATGATGATGGATGTCCTTGAGCCAGATTTTTACGTGCAAGAAAAGCAATTTCACAGTTTCTTTTTTATTTTTGAGCCAAAATAGCACATTTTCGTTGTTCAGTAGCCTCTGCAGATTAATTTAAAATGACACATTTGGTCCATCGAAATGGCCTTTCTTGTTAATTTTTTTAAAACAGGAAGTCCAACAATTCTGATACCATTTCGTTTTACCGCAAAAGTTCATCTGCGGAAAGCTCATGATTAATTTTACATGAAATTTGAAAAAAAGAGGAAAGGTGTTTGGAGGTGCTTTCTGCAGATATGCGTAGGAAACTGTACATTAGCAGATAACGAAGAAGTATAGATACTTAGGAAGCTGAGGTCTGAACGTGCATGGGTTTAGAAAAAGGGGGCATGGAATTCTTTTCGGCGGGGGAGAGGGGGAGAAAGGGGAAGGAAAAGGCGAGCGGTACTGATAAAACTGTTATCAAATAACCCACAAATGGGGGTTTTTTTCACCCATTTGCTGCTTAGAATGTTTGGCATAGATGGAACGGAAGTTAGGGGAGAGGGTAGATGCAAGTTTTTGCTAATATTTACATAAAACCCCTTATGCATTCGCTTTGGGGGGCCAAGACACTCCGGAATTACTCCGAGTGGTTGCAAATACCAAATAGCAACCACGTCTGGCAAGACTGTCGATGGCTTCATCTTTCAGGAGTTGCTTAGAAGCAAGCTGATGACGAATTTGACTTACTGTTATTTGTTGGTACCAAATTTATCATCAGAAAGAAATGAATGAATCGTGGGAGGGGAAGGGGCGGGGAAAGAAAGGAGGGGAGAGGGGGGAGGGGAAATTGGTTGTCCTACCGGCGGAATCGAACCTTCGATCTTCTGCGGCTGATTGCCTTATAATGGAGAAAAAAAGTGCTACTTTGCACTGCGCCATTCAGCTACTCGCGATTTACATAGTCCGGTCTGTGTTTACAGCTAAGGGATGAAACCCGCAGACTGCACCGTAAAATGTCACCTCACACATGTCGTCTGATTACAGTCCTTCTGGTCTTTTATCACACATAATTTGTTTGGGAGGCTGTTATACAGTTGGGTAACGTAGAACGGAAATTTGAATTTGAAATTAATAGTTGTTGCCTACAAACTTACAAATGTATAGGTTTTTCATAGGATTTTCAGCCTGGAGTTTTCGGCCAATAAATATTTTCTATGTAATCAACAAAAACGACGGGGATTTGCTTTTTTTTTTTTCACGCAATTAAAATTTTTCATTGCACTTTTTGGTAATGCAACTAATGGCCCCATAATGGAGAAAGGGCAGATTTTTTCAGAACCAGTTTTTCTCACATATTTTTGAATTTATTCAATTTTTTAAATGGAATAATAACCTATTTGAATTTTTCCCCACTTCACATTAATATGTTCGGGGAATTTGATGATAGGAATGTAAGCGATTTAACTGACGGAAACATCCTTTTTCGATTATTAGCCTTCATATTTTCTTATAAATTATGTTTAGTATTGAAGCTTGCACCTGATTGCATGAGAAAAACAGATTATAGGTAACATACCATCTAAGTTCATGTAGTGGCAACTGATCCAAGTAAACACCCAGTGCTGCTCGTGTAATACCCGAGTAACGCACACTTCCTATCGATGTCCGCCCACTTATACAAGTAACGACCGTTCCTAGATCACAGTGCGGTACTTTACGGGTAGAGTAATTACTTTTGCTAAATGTATTTCAGTGTGTTCTGCCAAATGTTAGCATGTCCAACAACGGCGAGCAGGGTTTTTAGTGGTTTTCCCCTCTTTTGAGAATTGCTTAGAAGCAAGATGATGATGGTTTTGAGTGAGCTAGTACCAATTTACTATCGAAACGAGTGGAGAAATCGTAGAAGGATTGGTTATCTCACTGATGGAATGGATTTTAGGCATGCGAATGGCGCTACTTACTACTGTGTTAGCTCTGAAGAATTTTCCTAGCTTTTTGAAATCATGATTTTATGAATCCGACGATTTTTACTTCTAGTTTTAAATGATGATTTTGATAAGATGTATTTTTGGACTGGACCGAAAATCTTCATTCTGGGATCCTGGTTTAATTTGGGGTTTTTTCTCGTGGTTTTTGTGATTTTTGGCAGTTATTTTTTAAATTACCTGCTATCGAAAATTTCGGAAAAAAAAATTCGTTTTTACTCCGGACCGGTATGAGAGAGTTTATGAAAATATAATAACGCCGGTTTAAAGTAGTACTTATAATCGTTGTTTCGATATAATAAGCTCCATATGTTAATGCCCGGACGGGAAACAGGTTTTCTGTTGTTGTAGGTGCGATCGAAAATGGGTTTTATGCGTTTTTTTTTCGAGTTGTGCCCCTAATCGAATTACTGTTTGCAGAAAATAACAATTATTAAAAATTTGACGCATTAAAGCGATGAGGAGAGAAAAAATTGCTAGAGGAATTATGATAACTATGAAAAAAATGAACACGATTTTAGAAAAATACTAAAAATGGGAAAAAAATCAATATTTTAAAAAAAAAAGTACCTTCTTGTGCATGGTACATAGACAGATCCTTCATCAGGAGAATTCTACTGTTTTGAAAAAAAAAAATGGAATTATTTTTTCCAAATTTTTAATTGTGAGGGGGTGTTTGTGCCCCAATTTTTCGCGCGCTTTTAGAAAATGAGGCAAAGCGTTTGATTGGTACTTTTTCATCAGTTTTTCCAATAAGAAGGATTTCATTAAAAAGAAAATGCTGATGAATCTTTGATGGATTATTTTTTTGAGGTATTAGGACATTAAGATGAGGAAAAACTTACGTAATTTAAAAAAAAAAAAAAGCAAAAAAGGTCCTCTTCGGTATCAGTTCTAATTTGTAAAACTTTTTTCCGGAAATTTTTTTCAAAGCGACCAAGCAAATATTGATGACAGAGCTACTGTTGCAGTTTTTTATAATTACTGAAATAAATTTTACTTATATATTCCTTCAAAAATTTTGCATTTTTTCCAAATTTCGCAAAAAAAACTGATTTTTCCCGGCGCATTTCACAAAAAAGATTCGAATGTATGCATGTTTTCTTCACAAAAAATCATTTACCTCGGCAGTGTTTGTCGTTCTGATTGTGAGTTAGCTCTGCGGGTGGTTGATTATAAGTAGAAGAAAGTAAAAAGAGGACACGAGAAAACTGGTTCCTATTATTGAGTAAACACACTGCACACATACTCAACAGCAAGCGGGAAAGAGGGGAAAAGGTAAAAAAAGAGTGGCTTTCACTGGAAAATACTCGAATGAGGTAAATTTTTTGCAAAAAAAAAAACAACAAATGCCAACTTTATCAACAAATTTAACAACAATTGTTCATCCGGATACTTGAAATACCTGGGGTTTTTTGAAAAAAAACTCATGAGCAGAATTGCGAGCTGTGCAGCTTTGGCAGTTTTTTATACGTTTTTTGCTATGCAACAGCTGCGCAAGACGCATATTGTCACAGGGTTGTCTGTGTGTATGTGTATGTATG